CTTCCTGGCGACCCAGTATCGCACCAGGAGGTGAGCCTGGTGGAGTACCGGTCGGAGTCGGTGACGCTGTTCCATCACGACTCGCGGATGTCGCTGGCTTCCGACACCTTCAGCCTCTCCTTCCGGCCAGTGCTGGCTTCAGACTCCGGCGTGTACGTCTGTCGTGTGAACAACCGCGACGACACGCAGCTGCCTGTGCGTCTCATCGTTCAAGGTACGTAACTGTTAGGAGTCTTGTGTTGGCCAATCTGGTCGAGCCTCAGGCAACCTCCTGAAGGGGCAAGAGGTATGTAATGTACATATTAATATCTACATTGGGGTTGTTCATGTTCTTCGGGTGTATCAGAATATAACACGGTGTTATAGAGTAAATGTGACGGTGTTCACTGTGGCCCGGCACGGTGTTCACTGTGGCCCAGCACGGTGTTCACTGTGGCCCGGCACGGTGTTCACTGTGGCCCGGCACGGTGTTCACTGTGGCCCGGCACGGTGTTCACTGTGGCCCGGCACGGTGTTCAGTCTACGACCCCACGGTGTTCAATCTTTGTGTAACATCGGAAATGAACAAACGAAAAAGCTCATAGGGTGTAGGAGGTAGAGAGGTGGAAGGGAATAGGGAGGAAGAGTGGTCAAGGGGGAAAGGGAAAGTTTAGAATATGAGAGAAAGAATGAGATAAAGTAGAAAAGTGTTAGAAAGCAAAGTAGAAGAGTAGAAACTAGTGAAGAAAATGCTGCCACTATACATTCATTAATTATAAGACAAGGAATGGAACTTGTCTGCACAATAATATTATCTGATGTTATCACGTAACCACTGTACGAATATAACTCATATAACCAAGAATCTTTAAGTTATAATCATACAGCCGTAAACTTCAGAATGCTCTCCACTCTAGCTTTCAACATATAGAAAATCCAAGATCTAGGGAACAGAATTAAAGATAATATAAAAAGATAATTATTCAATTATATAGTTATCTATAGGTATCATAATTCAACCATTTCACTTGTTCAAATGTCAACATCAATTCAGATTTCGAGTCACCACACAAGAAATTTAGAGCACCTACGGCTGACTGAACCTGAAGATCACACAACACGTAGGTTGGAAAACACAATGTATGACAACCTTACAGTTTACTCACCAAAGTCTCTTGAGACTTTGTAGAGGAGGGTGGCGGCGCGGCTGACAGTCCCCTCACCCGGCTTGGGAACCCCAGTTTGGCCACTGGAACCTCTCGACAAGCGATCCATCTTATCGCTGTCCTGCTCAATGTCTCAAATGTACAGTTCCACGGGTATTTATGGGGGAACCGGGAGCTAAGGAAACCGGGAACTATAATCAACCGGGAACCTGGTTGATCAGTCTGGCAACCAGGAGGCCTGGTCGACGACCGGGCCGCGGGGACGCTAAGCCCCGGAAGCACCTCAAGGTAACCTCAAGGTAACCTCAAGGTAAGGTCCGCTTACCAGAATATAGCCTCTGGTTATCTACCTACCACACCTAAACAGTGGCTTGTTTCAAGGAACACAACACAGAAACCCGTCTGCAATTATCAGCTTAGCAGAGAGCGAGGTCACATCACACGACCTGACCCCTACTCTACCTGTGAACATTAAATATCGAAAGATGTGATTATATAATTGCTTAGGGCCGACTGTCTGGGGCCACCAATATCCTGTGTGACTTGTCTCTCGTTGTATGTAAATTAACCAAGACACATTTATTGTGTTAAATGTGACCGCCAATAGTCTGACCTCAAGGTATTCAATCTGTGACACTTTGCTTCCTCTCTAATTCTTTTCTTCTCCAACATCTCATTCTTATACCTTCACCATCCTCCAGCTCTTTCCTCTTGGGTCTTCTTCTCTTCCTGTCCTCTGCCCTCTCTTCCCTTCCTCTCTTCCCATCCTCTCTCCCCTCTTCCTCTTCTCCCTGGCCTCGTCCTCTCCCCTCGTAACCAATCTGGTCAGCAGGAGTCAGCAAGTGCCACGAGCGAGGGGAACAGAAGAGATGACTTATGAGTGGGAAGTGAAATATAGCGCGGTTCTTCTTCAACAGAATTGAGGGGAATTGGCTTCCACTCACCTCTCTCTCTTCTCTGTTTTCTCTCTCTTTCCTATTTTCATTCTCTTTTCTTTCCCCTTCATATATTTTGTTAATCTTCCTCCTCCTCCTCTCATCTCCTTCCTTTTATATTTTCGTAGCATCCTCAAAATTACATTTTTTTTTTCATTTAACTTTTTCCTCTTCATCTTTTTCTCACTTTCCTCTATTCCCCTGTAATTTTTTTTCCTCGTTCCAATATCTGTATTTTTTTTCATCCCATCTCTTACCACCTTCCTTGTATTTCACCTCATCCTCTTACTTTTCTCCTTTACCATTCCCTGGACTCCTGGTCTTCCTCTTATGTTAGCTCTTCCACTTTTTTTTTTTTCCGTAATCCCTGCCTCTCTCTACCTCCGCCCCCCTCTCCTCCTCCCCCAACTTTTTACAATTAGTGTTCCATGTCGAGGTATTTGTATGGTGAGGAATTGAGCCCCGGAGCACAAGTCTAGAACACCATCTCCTGAAGCACCACCATCACCACCTGCAGCACCACCATCACCACCTGCAGCACCACCATCACCACCTGCAGCACCACCATCACCACCTGCAGCACCACCATCACCACCACTACAACAAACACCAACCATCACCTACAACTCCAAGAGCAGATACGACAAAGAACCCGGAACGTCAGAAAAGATACCAAAATATAAATAACACCCCGCACCGGGTACAGAAAAGCAAGACGGGCAAGAAAGGAAGGCGAAAGTGACAGGTATTATATAGAGCGTGGTCTTCCCAGAACGGTACTCTAAGGAGGGAGGGATAGTAACATGAAGGATGGATGGCGCTAGAGCTACGCTGGATGGATCCTTGAGGGAAATCCGGTTACCAGGAGACACCGATCTCGGACCATAAATGCATGGAAGATCACTCGTGAATGCCTTTTAGGCCATCAGTGAACATCAGACGTGTGAGAATCGAACTTTATCTAGCGATGCTAGTTTCTCTTTTTGCATTCTATCATTCTATCTTTCATCCCTTTTTATCTTTCCTTATCCATTCCTTTCCCTCCTTCCTTTTCTCCTCTTCTCCAGTTCCCAGCGTCCCTCCTCTGCCTCTTCACTCTCACTTTCCCTACGATTGACAGTTAAATCTTGAGATGAAGGGTAGGGGGGAAGCCAGAGAAGAACGACGAGGAGTGGGGAGGTGGGGAAGCGATGGACGGAGAAAATCTAAGGGGTATTTGTGAGAGGTCCCCAGGCAAGGTGGAGGGACAGCGGAAGTGGCCCTCAGGTGATCTTTCGCCAGAAGCAAGAAAAATAGCTGAAGGAATGACAACAATTAGCACGCGAAGGCAGGAGTTATGACAGTCACAAAATTGTGATATGGTAACGTAGGGGTGACCTGGGTGAACAGGGGAGAATGAGAGAATGGGGAGAGGAATGGGGTGATAGGCAGAAAATTTGCAATGCTCTAAGGAAAATGAATGGGTTAGATGAATAATAAGATAGGAATTGGTGAATGCGATGGAGAGAGAAATGGGTGAAAGTGAGGGAGAAAGGAATGGGTGAAAGTGAGAAAGTAGAATGGGTTTACTATGAGGAAGGAGAAAAGTAATGACGTATTGAGTCATTGGTATATATATATATATATATATATATATATATATATATATATATATATATATATATATATATATATATATAAACCATTAATATGTATATATAATTACATTTTCTTGTAAGTAGGCGACCGATGGGGGTATTGGGTAGTCTTTTGAAAACTGACTTGGCACAATGAACGCCAAAGATTAAGAAACTTGGCATTGACAGTAAATATTGGGGAAGGAGCCCTGAAGACCTCAGTAAATTTGAATGTGTCTCGGGGTTTATGGGTGCCAAGAATCAGGGATCGGAAAGAGGGGAGGATATAAGGTTTAGAAATTGAAAAATACAAACATATATGACCTGAGAGAGAGAGAGAGAGAGAGAGGAGGGGGGCTTGGAGTTCACGAGAAGCAGGAAATAGAAAACCTTCGTTGTGTACGACATATGTTTGCTGGAAACACACAATTACTGTTTCTGGCCATTATTGCGTCTCCTCTCTGAACAGAAGAGGTTACGAGAGAGAATCACCAGGCTTGTGGTGCATGTGCGCGCGCGCACGCACACACACACACACGCGCACACACACACACACACACACACACACACACACACACACACACACACACATACACACACACACACACACACACACACACACACACACACACACACCTGGGCGCTGGTGGTTGAGAGGACAGAACGCTGGATACATAGTTCTGTGGTCTCGGGTTCGATTCCCGGCGCCGGCGGAAACAAAAATGGGCAGAGTTTCTTTCACCCTGATGCCCCTATTACCTAGCAGTAAATAGGTACCTGGGAGTTAGACAGCTGTTCTAACTTCCTCTGTGTGTGTGGACCGCTTCCTCTGTGTGTGTGTGTGTGTGGGCCGCTTCCTGTGTGTGTGTGTGTGTGTGTGTGTGTGACAGTTAGTGTTTGTGCGCGTGTGAGAGAGAAAAATATTTGTAGTAGATATGATAGAGGAGAGGTCAGAACTCGGTACACGAGACAGCCAACGACTAGAAAGTCGGGATCCCAGGAGCTACCAGCTCGATCCTGCAGGCGCAAATAGTTAACAAAAGCAGTAAATGCACTCACACGCATGTGCATCTATTCATCAACAAACACAAGCAGTAGGATGTATGCTTGTCCGCACGTATGTAAACACTCCAGAATTTACAAGTAGAGTATCTGCTTTAAGCTTGAATGCATATTTTAAAACCGGCAGACATTCTGCAGAGTTTGCCAATTGTCCATCTCGACGCTGACGGACCAGCGAGCGCGCACTCGCGGTCCAGCGAGCGCCCACTCGCGGTCCAGCGAGCGCCCACTCGCGGTCCAGCGAGCGCCCACTCGCGGTCCAGCGAGCGCCCACTCGCGGTCCAGCGAACGCCCACTCGCGGTCCAGCGAGCGCCCACTCGCGGTCCAGCGAGCGCCCACTCGCGGTCCAGCGAGCGCCCACTCGCGGTCCAGCGAGCGCCCACTCGCGGTCCAGCGAGCGCCCACTCGCGGTCCAGCGAGCGCCCACTCGCGGTCTGCGGTGATTTGTCGACCGCGGTGGCGAGGAATGTCGCCGTCATGGTTTTTACGGAGTCCCCTGGTCTGCTGCTCAATTTAGACAAGGATCTTGAATAATTAGTAGAAGGGTCAGGCTTGAGGGAAGGCAGCGGTGGTGGGGCTTGAGGGAAGGCAGCGGTGGTGGGGCTGGAGGGAAGGCAGCGGTGGTGAGGCTTGAGGGAAGGCAGCGGTGGTGGGGCTGGAGGGAAGGCAGCGGTGGTGGGGCTGGAGGGAAGGCAGCGGTGGTGGGGCTGGAGGGAAGGCAGCGATGGTGAGGCTGGAGGGAAGGCAGCGGTGGTGGGGCTGGAGGGAAGGCAGCGGTGGTGGGGCTGGAGGGAAGGCAGCGATGGTGAGGCTGGAGGGAAGGCAGCGGTGGTGGGGCTGGAGGGAAGGCAGCGATGGTGAGGCTGGAGGGAAGGCAGCGGTGGTGGGGCTGGAGGGAAGGCAGCGGTGGTGAGGCTGGAGGGAAGGCAGCGGTGGTGAGGCTGGAGGGAAGGCAGCGATGGTGAGGCTGGAGGGAAGGCAGCGGTGGTGAGGCTGGAGGGAAGGCAGCGATGGTGAGGATGGAGGGAAGGCAGCGATGGTGAGGATGGAGGGAAGGCAGCGATGGTGAGGCTGGAGGGAAGGCAGCGGTGGTGGGGCTTACTTTATTTTTTACTCTAAAAGTTGTAAATAAGTAAT